AAAGGAACGCCTCGGATGCCGGTGCGAACCTCGGCGCCGTCCAGGTGAGCTCCCCCTCGGCCCCGCTGCCTGCAGCCGCCGCCGGCCGGGGAGGGCTGCCCTAGCCTGGCCTGGCCTGGCCTGGCTTGGCCGCTGCGTCAGACTGAGAACAAGCACCGGTTTGTGCTCCACTCACAGCCTAGATTTACCCGTCCGTGGGTAGATTCGTGTTGGCTCAACGTGGCACTTTTACATTTTAAGGTTTAAGCACTTTTAAAGCACAGTCTAAAAAATATATAAAATAAAAGGCTAAAAGTGTGACTTTTTCAGGAGGCACATTTAAGATCAGTGGATCTGAATCACGTCATCAGGCTACTGGAAGATTCAGACTCAGTAAGTAAGCCTGCTACCTTGTTATTTCAGTTACACAGGTAGTAACGGGGCTTAGTAAAACGTTTTATACAATTACTTTGGTACCTGCCTTAAATAAATCAGATTACGCTGGTGGCTGTGGCTGAAAAGCACAAAGCTGAAGTGTTTGTTCAGGTATTTGAACACTTCTAAAGATGGTCATTGTAATAGAGAATGCTATCAATGTTGGTTTTATATTGAAAAAAAATATTTATATAACCCTGTATGTCCTCACACAGGCACTTTTCAAAACAAAAATACAAAAGCATGTGCAAAATTTCTAGCTTATATGGGAGTTTTTGAGTGCTGAAATCTACAGCTGAGAAACAGTAATACATACAGAGTTACTGAAAGCATGCCAGGAATTTAGGTAATTGCTCAAGTTAACTGCTAACATTTCTCCAGGGACGTGATTTTAAAGGAAGGTAAAATACACAAAGTTGAGGTTTGAGGAACAGATATGACTACCTAGGCACACAGGAGAGTGTAATCTCATAGAGCTCCACAATCTGGTTTTGGTCTCTGCAAGAAGATTTGGCAGACTAAATTCACTAAGACATCAGTTATTTTTGATCTAAAAACATGATAATTTATATTCCTAAAACGAGAACTCATTTTAAGTTAATGCCCCACAGAGAAATAGTTCATATCTTTTGATACAGAGCTGATAGAATAAACTTACAGACTGAAGAAAAATGTGCTGAATTATATTGTTTACTGCTTCTCTAGAGAGTATAAGATTTATGATAAAATGCCCTTAGGATTCTGGGCTTGTAGATTCCTGAACGACTTTCTGGCCTGCCCCAAGTTGCAGTGCTCTGAGGTGCTCGGAAGAGCTGGAATGAATGCTTCGTATCGCTGACACACCCTGGCGTATCCTCACTTCAGTTGGTTTCAGCCTCGAATCTGCAAACTGTTTCCTAGTGGTGGTAGAGCTCCACTCCAAGCCACTTATATCCACATTTTTATACATTTATGTCATGTGTGACATACATTTGGTTTTCTTAGTTGTGTTTCACAGATTCCCAAAGAATTTAAGACAAAGAACCCACACATTTGAACAAAAGATTGAGTTTTTAAAAGTCTCTTCAGTTACAAGAGCACAAAATCTGTATTTAGAAATGAGGCTTGATCAAGGAACTAATCCTGCTGCAAAGCACTTTCAGAATTTCATTGTGTCTTGTGATTTTTTAATCCGGTTTCCACTTTCATTTAAACTTAAAAGGGGTTAAACATAATCATTTAATGTTCTAAGACAAACTGTAATTAAAACCTGCTTTTCATTCTTTGACTTAAGAAAGATTTGGAAAAAGAGCAGCTGAAAACTCTCAAGAAGGTAGTCAAGCGTTTTGAAAATGGGGTTGTATCCTTTTTGCTGCTGTAGAATTCTAAAGTCATGGTGGTTTATGTATGATAATACTCTGACTTTTCAGCAAAGCATTTTGTGATGTGCTGTGCTTTCTCATGGAGAGCAGTGATGGTTCACATACGTTCTCATCATTGGCCTTGTGCACGCTTGGCCAAGGCTGGTAGGTTAGCAAGATTCTTGGATGCTTGATTCATTTGGTACAAAAGACAATAGAGGGATCTCACTTATACAGTGGTTGAAAGAATTCAAAATGCAGTTAGTGTACTTTCAACTCAGAACAGACAAGCATAATAATTGTCATTATTTAAGAAGTAGCAGATAAAATAGTACTGACTTCCAGTGAGGAGACATTTTAAAGAAAAATAAAGTCATACTAATTTATCTGAAACTTTTTTTTCATATTTACAGTACAAATTGAAAGGCTTCCAGTAATCGGAAGTACTAGGGAGGGTTTAGTCATATGGAAAAATGTGATTAATTTTGTACAGTTCAGCTGATTGCTGTAGTGATTTAAGCTATCACATTGCTTCACAACTGAGTTGTGGCTAAGCACTTCCAGGCAGTTTCCATGAGTCAGGATTGGGAGTAAATTCTCATTCTCAGGGTTCTGTTCAGTTTTGATCTTCTGCCTCTACCCTAAATTAGATAATCTCAATAATGTGTTGAGGTCTAGATTTTCAAACTTTAGTTAGTCACTTGGAACTAGAGTAGGAAAGAATTTAAATACCTCAAGGCTGTCTCAGAATTTAGACAGGTAAATCTGACACTGATGTAAAAACTTTTAAGCCCATATTTTTAGAAATTCAGTGCTGAACTTCCAGTGAGTTCAGCTGATAAGAAAGCTCAATCAGATTTGCAGAAGTTGTACTTCTGAAAAAGTAACGCTGCTTCCAGAAGCCTAACTCATGTGCTTCATTGTAGATACCTAACTTTGAAAGCATTTGCCTTGTGTTTTCTAGGTTATGTCTTTAAAGTATGATGAATACAGTTTTCAACTTTTTCTTCTCATTCATAGCAGTACAAACAATCTGATTTCCTTAACTTTAAATTAAAAGCCCCTTAAGGATTTAGCACAAATAATTGAAGTTCTTAACCTGTGTGCAGAAAAAATGAATAAACAAGAAGCTTTCACTGAGCCTTTATGTGAACTTATTAAATTATGTGGGTAAGTACTTCAGGCTTTCTTTTAGAGATTTAAACACTGCTTATTAACATGTTCATACATTTTCTAAGGCAACTGACATATCCATACAGCATTTATCTACAAAGTATCTATTATATCACCCTTCCTTTTCATGAACTGTGGTTTCCTTGAGTCCAGTTTCTCTTGGCATGGAGGAGGGACCATTTTTGCAGTTCAGTACCTGTGGAGCTACGTATTACATCATTCAAAACTGTTCAGTAATTGGCCCCAGTTTGCTTGGAAGCAAGATTCCCCAAGATGTCTTAGTAAGTTGTTCTGGGACTGTTGCCCCCAGAAGATTCAGCAGCTGAGTCTTGCTGAGGTACGTTTTGCTGTTTCAAACAAGCTCTCTAAGTGAGTTTCAAAACCTGAAGTGACACAAAGACACTGTAATACCTGAAGGTAAGCTTTACAAACTGGCAAGCCATATTGCAGAAGAGAAAGAATCACAACAATTGGAGGATTTGGGATTTATAATTAATTTTAAAACATATCACATGAACTTTTGGGCATCTTCATTGTCATGCTGTACTTTAAGTTATTTGTAGAATAGAATTTAGGTGTTATCCAGACTTGTCAGTAGTTTTCCCCTCCTCAGTAATTTAATGAAATTACTTATAGAAGGCTTTTAACTACTGTTACTCCTGTATTTAATTATAATTGGAGAGAGTAAGGAAGAGAAAAATTATGCCAGATAGAAAATTAGTCTCATAATAAACCAGATAGTCAAACAGATTTTTACATAGCTTCATCTCAGCCATTGGGTTTAATAAACTTAGAATGTATCAGCTGATTCTTTTAGTTCCCTGCACATTATCCTTTGTACAGCTTTCCTTTGCTGCCACACAGTGGAAAATGAGAAAGTACATTATAAAGTTTCATTTTCTTCGGTGTTTGGCAGACACATGACAAAACTGAGAATGAGTGTATAAAGTCGATAAAATGTAGTTGTGAATAAGACTTTTCGTCTCTTACAGCAGTTCAGCAATAATTGTGGTTTCTGCAATGAATAAATTTTGGAAGATTGCACCCTTGGGTTTTGGTTTAATTTCTGTACTATGGAAATTCCCCAATTCACTACTATTGCATATGACAAAGAGAAGCCTGTAACTAGAGGGAAGGGCTGTGATTTAAAAATTCCTTTCAGATCCTAAAACTTCTGTAGCAAAATTTTCCACTCTTTCATAACAGCTTCTGTTTACCTGTCTTCTTCCCACTTTTTTTTTTTTAATATCTGTTTCTTTTTCCCTCCCCCATTTACTCAATTACTTACTCTCTCCTTTCTTTTTCTCTGGCCATGTTTACAGAGGTAAACCTACCGGAAAGCTGCTTCTACACTTACGAGCCGCAGAAGCCTTAGCATAATGTTTACTGTTAGAGAATTTTTAGCTCTTACATGTTTATTTCATATCTGTGTATTTTGAAAATGTTATTGAATATTTCTTAATATCCTGTTTTTTAAAAACATATTTGTCATTGGGCTATTTGGAGTCAGTTTACTGGTTTTATTTTTATATGTGTCAAGAGGTCTTGCCCAGGGATGTAATCTCTTTTTTCCACCTCTGCACATATGTATGCACAGTCTAGCTCTGCAATAGCCTGATAGTGCCTAGGTTCTAGGATTTAATCTTCCACATTTAAATTACATTTGTTTATTCAGTATTTCTTATTGCACCAAATATGAATTATGAAAATGTTATCTATGAACATGTACCAGAAGTGCCAAAGTGTAATTGCCAGATTATGAAAGTGGAACTTAGAGTGTAGAATCAGCATTGCACAGAGTGTATTTTTCCTGGGAAAAGTGTCTTTATTTGTAAAAAATGTCAAGGAAGAAAAGAAAACCTATTGAGCTTTCCTGGTGACTTGATCAAAGTGTTTTTCTGCAGTGCTTTAAGCATAGTTGGAATACTTTTTAATTTCATTTTGCAGATTACCATTTCTAAAAAAGAAATCATTTGATGAAGTAAGCTATTCCGTGGCAGTTTCAAAATCCATTGCACAACTGGGTGAGTGTAAACTGAGATGCCACAATAAAATTATTATTATGCCATAATAAAATTAACTGTATTATTATGATTTAATTGTTTGTTATCTCCTTAGTAAATATAAGTAATTTCTTTCAATTATTCATCCGGTCCTCTGTGCTTTTTAGTATTAGAAACTATCCTTATTTTGCTGCACAGCTAACGTGCAGATTAGCTAGCAGAATTACCTTTTTGCCAATATCAGAAGCTATGTGAGGTAACTTTATCAGTACCGCTGAAGAACTAAACCTCTCTATAGCCTGTTTAATTTTGTTTTGTTCTGAGCAATTGGGGTATTACTATAAACACTGAAGGCTGGGATAAGATGAACATGTATACTTCCTGCTTCTTTGAAGCCAAATGGAAGAAACAAGTGAGAAACAGCAATTCCTAACTCCCAGCTCAAACCTTTGAAGGCCTGAGACCCACACAGGAAAAATACAGCAAGTAGTTTAGTGCCAGGCCTTACTAGAAGTAGCAGTTTCTGACTTCAGCCTCCTGCTGTATCTGAGCCATGAGCTTCTATCTTTCAGAAATCTGTTTTAAAAGAGCTGTAGAAGATAAGGTGTTAAAGTCATGTCTTAATGTCACTGGACCTCTCAGTACCAAAATATCTTTTTATGACCTTTCATGTCACATTTGTGATTTTCAAAGAAATTACTGCAAGCACAGTAGATCAAAAAGGATTCAGAATAAGCAAAAGTGATATGTTACCTCACTTAATGGTAAGATTTAAATGGTAAAGAGGTAGCATAATCAGCCTGTCACACATTAAAAAAAGTATTAACCTTGAAATGGGTGAGAAAAAATATTTTTAGAAGTCTTTAATTTCACAGGTCCAAGCAGATAGCAGAATGGCCTCCTGGTTTCAGATAGTTCCAGATTCTCTTTAGGGTACCACATCCAAAAAGACACTAAAATCTAAAAGATTGGTTTTATTATCCATGTTAGGCACTGGGAGCTATCAATGGAATTCTCTTTATCTTATGGAAAAGGATCTTTTTCTGTGCTCCCTTTATGCCATATCACGTCTGCTAGAAGAAGAGTTTCTGGTGTGGTAATGATGACAACAGTCTAGTGTAGCAGCTTTCTTCTGAATTCCACAACTTCTGAAATGACATTCAGTCCTTCATAAGGCTCTGTAGCCATAAAGCAGAGGAGGTCACTTTTTCATTAACCTTCTGCTACTCCTCTAAGACTCCTTTGTCCTCTTCCATGTGAGCGCCCCATCTCTTGAGTATTTTATAATTGAACTTTGCATGAAATGACAGATTTATAGGAGATATGACCAAAGGAAACACTAAGTACTGTAAATAGAAGTGTTAAGATTACTTTCTAAAAAAATATACAAACCTTGTAAATGGTTTTTTCTGTTTCTGGCAGGTTATTTGATGAGGGTGCCAAGCTCTCGAGTTAGAATACAAATCTGTAAGTGTGTTGTTAGCTTTTATAATATGGAGCTACCGAGAAAACTACTTTCAGGTATAGCACAGTTTTTTCAAGTGTTGCAAGAAATCAAGTGTTTATGATCCAAGCTACTTTGAAATTACTCTTTCAATTAGCTATGGATTAATTTTTCTTTATAACTATAGTTACTGTATCTCATATATTAAATATATGATGTTGCCAAATGTGAAACTAACATGTTTTTATAGAAATACGTACTAAAAATCTGAAATTAGTTCATCAATGAACAAGGAATTAATTATTACATTTACAGAATTAGGATTAAATAGTATCCAGAAAATGTGGTTCTCTGAAATGTGGAAAATGGAGGAGAAAGAGTAGTTAAGATCAGAGTTAGAAGAAGGGAAAAGTAACTTTCAACTTTGTATATGTAGCTTGGAGAGAAGCAGCTCTGGCTTCACTTGTGTTGCTTGTGAGGGATAGATCTGAGCTCATCTAAATTTGTTTGAGTCCATATTATATGGACACATTTGAGCATAGGCTTTGAATAAATTGCATTACTTGTCTCTGCAGAAAGAGGCTGCATATGTGCACAAGCATGATCCTCTGGTATTATGGATATGCATGGAAACTGTCATCAGAACCCACTGCTATTTATTCTTTTGACTCTTATGGTGGTGCCAGAGGCTGTTATCAGGCAAAGTCACTCATGGATCCCCTCATAGAGGTGCACAGACAGGATCGTGTGCTGTGAGACAGCACTGGATTTATAGGCAGCCAAGCTTCTGATGAACACTGTCACAGTGTGTATCCAGAGCGCAGGTGAGGGAGCATGCTGGATCTCAGTGTGCTCCCTTGCTGTGTTCCTAGCGTGGCACTAGTTCCTGTGCCCTCTCGCTAGTTTTCATTTATTTTAGGAGGCCTAAAGAAGCTACAGCTGCAACGGCGTTCACAAGATTATGGGAATATGAAAGCCTATAAATCTGTTCTTACCTTACAAACAAGACTCAAATCCTGCAAGCAGCTATGTGTGTATTTAGTTGTATATCTGTAAATAATTCCATCAAGATAACTGAGTGTTAAATACTGAGAGATTTTATTCTCTTCCTCCAGATTTAGAAAACAAGATGTGTTATCTCAAAAATGAAGAATGTATTTCAGTCTGACTTAAGTAAAATTCTTCATCTCTAAGCATATATGAAAATCTTGCCAAAGTTTGAACTCACAGAGTTCTGTTACCTAAAAGTGATACCAACTTAAAGCCTATCAGAGTTTATGCTTTGTTAAAACTCCTTTCACCGTGTGCATTATCTGCGTTTATCAATCTTGATTTCTTATCATTGTATATATACATATATTTAAGCTATTTAAGATAAACTTTACTTCCAGGAGTTAGCACATAAAAATATAAATGTCTCGGTGCTTTCCCTTCCCCCATAATTCAGTAATGAAATACGGATTTACATATATATAGACAAAAGTAAAAATGGGCACACATTAAAAGCCAGGCTTATAAATCAAAGGTGGGATTCACATATTTTAAGTAATGTGATCATAGAAGGCATTAATTCCCTAGTGAATAAGGTACAGAAGAGAACTAGGTCCTGCAGCAACAACTTATTGCATGACCTGAAAAAGGTTTTTTGCCCCTCTATAACCCTGCTTGTTCTTTCATTCTGTAAATTCTAGGAAGCAATTAATTTTTTTATATAGCATTTTAGTCTTCTTGAGGGTAAGTCTGTTGGATATGCTTTAGGCACCATTAATACTCAGATACAAGGAAAGCAGCTCTTGTTGTTTATTAGATTTTTTTTTCAACTGGTTTTAGGACTAAGGAAATATGATACTCAGTTCTCAATCTTTTCTTGAGAAATTCTGAATATTATTATAACTAAAGCTATTAAATGTGCAGGTTACCAGCCAACAAGTGCAAACTATAAAAATCAGATGGCTGAATTAGGAGGACTGGCAGAAACTCTCGTATTGTCACTAGCATTAGTTGAAAATCAACTTACTGAGAAGTTGTGGGTACTTAAAGCTCTCCAGCATCTCTCCAGCTCCGGTTAGTACAAACTGTTCCTTCAACAATCTCATTACCTCAGATCTTGGATCATTTATTCTCTGAACATGCCTAAACCAATTACTGATCTACAGGGAATAAATTACTCAGATTTTCATAATTTCAGGAGTAAATTGCAGACTTATGATGAAGGCCCAAGCAGCCAGCAGACTCTGTTTGTATCTAAATGGAGTGGATCCCTCAGGACAGCTGGTGCTCCGCTCCTCAGAAATCCTATGGAACCTGTTAGAAAATACCTCAAAAGAAGAAGTTGTTAATCAGCTCAGTAGCTTGGAATGTGTACAGTAAGTACAGGGAAGCATTTTATGAATTAATACTGTAATACTGGAGACATCTATAGCATTGCTGTTGTGTAGCATTTTGTTTGAAATGAATTGAGATAAAATACAGAAGGGGAATGGAGCTCTCTCATTAAGCCTTTATTAAGTTTTCAGTATTAACACATACGACTCTCCAGAATGGAAACACTGTCGCATCAGACCTCATAGCCAAGCAGCCCCTGATTTAGACCCCTCAGGCTTCTGTTTCTCTTTCAGCAATTTAGATAGTGCTGTGGTTTGTGACTCACCAGGAAATGATACAGAGTATGAGAACTGCCTGCCAGGTAGCTTACAAAATTGGTGGCCAAAGTCCAGCTAAAGGTACATCCAGTCAATGCCAAAACTATTTCATTATCAAGCCTCTCTTTATTTCATGAACACAGCACCAGTTATTTCTGTAAAAGAGCAAGAAGGAGATCAAGGTGCTCTGCTGTGTAGTACAGAGGTATAGCCCTATCGCTTTGTATGACGAAAAAGTTAATTGCACCATTTTCAAGCTCATGTTAGGCTTGGCAGGCCAGTTTTACTGCACTGTTGAAATACTTGTTATAAAACTAGTAGGAAATTCTGTGCTATGATACATGAGGTTTAGTTCTAGATCCTCTGCTGGAGTAAATAACAGGTTTTCCCTTAGTGAGTTATACTGTTTTAACTATTTAGAATTAGACCATTTCTTCTCAATAGTCATTCAACAACACCCAGTTCTATGCATGAGTAAATACTATGCCTGTCTATTAATTAATTATAATACATGCAGTGAAAGTCGTAATTTGTAATACACACACCTTGCATATATATTGGATGTCTAGTGGTGCACATAAGAATCCATTTCATAATAAAGTTTGAAGTTATTTCTCTTGCAGTTAAACCCTAAGACTTTGAAAAGTATCATGCTTAATAAGGATTCATGTACTCAGAGCTGTCTAAAATTAGAATATGGAAAGGTAAAATGCATTTCACTTCCTTTTAAGTGCTTTGAAAGAAGTATTTGTAGACCTTCTTATCCATGGTTTCCGGCATTGTGATCGTCAGCTACGGAATGACATCTTGATGATTGCCACATTACTAGCTGAAAACCCTGCAGCACCTATGATTGTAAGTATTTATAGTTATATTCCAGAGACTAATAACTTCTCCTTTGCTATTACATACTCCATATTTTTCCCCGTTAGGTTTCTCATACTTGTTCTACTCTGTTTTCAGTGCTTTTCTCTTCCTTAGATCTGCTGAGCAAGAAATTATTTTTCTTTCCACAATTCCATTTATGTCAAGAAGACTTCAAATCTGCAGGTCACCAGCCAGGAGTATAATCATCAACCTTATTTGATACATAGAAAATTACACTAACACTATTCATGTGCAAAAGTTAATGTTAACTCGTGTATTCTTGTAGAGATTATCAGATGTGGCATTCTGTTACAGTGAGTTTTGCACTAAATCTCATTCAGTACAGGGAGCACAGGCCGTAATCAGATGGCCCAAACTCAGCTGAAATATTTGTGCCTCGTAACCGGGAGTAAGAAGAGACCTCCAAAAATCATCTCAGAAGCTCTAAATAAGATGCTGAGAAAATAATTACTTAAATTGAGTTAATAAGAGGCACATAACTTCTTTCTAAGACTAGGTCACTTAAATGTAGTCCAGAGTGCACTATCATGACTCACCTAAAAAGCAGATGACTCATTCTTCTGTAATATTCCCAAATTTTTATGAGGAAACTGCATAGAATCTAACTCTTTGCATATGTTAATATTCTTTTACTGTCTTGTTTTACAGCTGAGATTTAGAACTTTAAATGAAGTTGTGACATACATACTAAATAATAAAGCAGTTAAATTCCTGCTTATGTAGACTATTGGCTAGGAATGTTACTTTCAGGGAATTAATTTCTCAACTTGAGTAGAAGTTTCCCAACTGGTTGTATTACTAAATAGATTTTATAGTCAGGAATGAAGATTACAGATTTTTCATTCAAGCTTTCCATTTTACCACTAACCATTATGAAATGTCTGGTTTACTATTGCAGCAACATATTCAATGTCTAAAACATTCAAATTGTTTATCTGGCTGTAGAAACAGGGCATGCATCTCAAAAGCTGCTGTGAAACTGATAGAACAGCTTGATGCTGTGGGGGAGTCTGTGTAGTGTTCTGTGAGCTCTGCTCCTGTTGGGAGCTGGTGGAAAGCTCTGAGGTGGCTTTGCAGAGTACTGAGACCAAGCATATATAGTTTGTTCCTCAAGAAGAGCTGTGTCCTGGTAACTGTGACTTCTAATCACCTCAAAAGAAAAGCTCATTTGCATTTAGTGTGCTACATAGACACCCCCTGGCCTTGGTCTTCTCCGAAATGATAGTAGACACATTTGTCCATCTTTTGGCTTTCTAGGAGCTGTGAATTACAAGGTTTTATTTTCTGAAATTTTAATATGTAGTATTTGTAAATGCATGTTGCTCATAGACACAGTTTTCATGTGCTTACTTGTAAGTGCACTGAAGTTGGATATAAGTGTACTAGTATGCACAATTGGAGGCACAAAACTGTATGTACTAATGACCCTGATGTATAAGTTTACATATGCCCAAATGCATTTAAAAACCCCAACTCTTAACAGTACTGAAAATACATTTTTTGTTGTAGTTTAAAGTAGTGAATACATGTGTTTGGGACTTCCCCACAGAAGTTCAGACTTGTACTAAATGAGACATGGGGTTAACTAATTGTACCCTTAGGACTGTAGTTAGTTAGTACTGTACAATGTCCAAATGGTTGATTTCTTCGATAAACTCTGTTTATTCTGCAATAGGATACATTAAACTCTGTGTTCTGCAGAAAAAAAGCAAAACTAAAATGAAATCATAAGTCTTAATTTCACGGCAATTTAATTTAATTAATATATATCTTTTTAATGCCTACTAGGAAAGTGGATTTACAAAGCTGTTAATAGTACTTGCGACATTTACTGAAGGTAAGAGATTTCATACTGCATAATTAACACTGTTTTTACTTTTAGTGATGGTTTTTTGATAACTTCTCTGCAATTTCCTTCACAGTTAAAATTCCCAATCCCTTGATGAAAGGTCTTAAACTTACCTACTCCTATGAGGACTTCGAGCTGAAGAAGTTACTATTTAATGTAATAGGAGTCTTATCTAAAAACCCATGTGCTGTACAGGTAAGTTGTAACAGAACAGAAGATACAGTAATCAAAAAAAAAAAGGTCAAAACAATCACAAGAATATTAAGCTGTCCATGTGACATAATCCAGTAGACTGAAATCAGCTGTTCTCCCAATCAAGAATTCATACATAGCTTCAGACCAAGCCCTGCTCTTTGAAAGCAGCATAGTTTCTGTTTTAGAAAAGTTGCAAACCTAGACCATGTTAGGAAAATTAGCTGACAAGTGACTGCAAAGCATTATTGAAATACATTTGAAGAACATAATAAAGTTTAACAAACTACAGTCTGTGGGAATGCTACAGAATATAAACAGAGTTTGTCTGTACTTGCAGCATTAATGACATACTTTCTCAGTTAAAAATCATTTTCTTAGTGTAGGACAGATAAAGTTGACTCATTGGTTTAGATTTTTCTTATTTGCATGTGAAACCTGTAAGCTGTCTCTCTCTTTCTCTTGACTCTGCAGCTTCTCAGTGAAAATGATGTGATGCCAGCTTTGCTTTATTATGTAAAACCAAATCAAAAGCCTGGATTTCGTGACTGGTCTGCTGCCCAATATGAAGAACTACAGCTTCATGCAATTGCTATTTTAGCTTCAGTGGCTCCCGTAATATTAGATAAATATTTGTCCTGCCAAGGAAATACTCTACTCCTTGTGTTTCTAGAATGGTGTCTAGGCCAAGGTCAGTAGATGCTCATGGCTTTCATACACAGTAACCTCAAAACACAACTCAGCTGGACTTACTTTCTTTGACAGAAAGCAAACATATAAACCTCATTAAGTCAGAATGTTTATTTGTCAATAGGTCACTTAGGAAACTAATCTTCCTGAAAAAACCACCATAGTATTTTTCTCTACAGAAGGATAAGCTGATGCCCCATTCCCTGTGTACCACTATACTGATATTCCACCAGTTGTGTGGGCAGCCACACATCTGTACTGCCCTTGTTTAGAGCTGGTCAGATACACTTACTGTGGCAACAAGTCCAACCAGTAATTCCTGCCATGAGACAGGACGCATTCCCTCAGATTCAGAGCTGTACACAGCAAAACAGCTTCCAAACTAAAGCTGGCTTGTAGCCATCAGCTAAGAGTATGGACTAAGCAAAAGGGTAATTAATTGCACCCAGTTTCATGGTCTGGTTTACTCGGGATGGACCTCATAAAATTGATAACTTAGGAAGAATTTTTCGTTTGAGTCTAATGGAGATCAAAGGTTTGATATTACATGTCATGCTACAGAAGATATGTTGAGCTTTGGAGACCACTCATTAACTTAGTAGGGTTAAAAAAATTGTTGTAATAAATTTAAATGTTAACCAAAATCATACCTTTCTTATGAATGTAAAATGTATAGCCCTACACAGGAAGGCTTATTACTAGATGTTTTTAAACAAGAAGTCTTTCTAATGTTAAGGGATTTTTTGTTTGTTTGTTTTAGCTTACTTACACTGATAAGCCTGTTTTCTTCTTTTCCTGAGCACATTATTATTCTGAACATACACTGTCTGCCAAAACAAAAATATACATTGTGATTGCTCCACAGATCCTTTCTTTGGTCAGGGTAACAGTTTCCATGGAACAGGTGGTCGTGGCAAGAAGCTTGCACAAATGCGCTACAGCCTGAGAGTGCTGAGATCTGTTGTGTCCCTTTATGATGAGACTGTGAACCTGAATTTGTGCGACCAGGGAGCAATTGGCCAGCTATTGGGTAATGCACAATTTGTATTGCTGTACTTGAATTAGCATATTTCTGTGGACACTAAGAATGTTCATCCTTTTTCATGTACTTTGGTTTTAGTGTGTTACTACTTTGACTGCTAAACTAAAAAACCTAAAACAATTAATCCAAGATATAATTGATTTTATTTTTAATTTTGTTACCCTTTAACACACAGAACTGAAGGAATTAAGCAAAACAGCTGTAAAAGCCTAGGTGCTTAATTCCAGGGTGGAAGCTGCCCCTTCTCCCTTTATTACACTGCATTTGTTACATCTTATTTTCATTGTGGTAGCCACTAGAGACTCCAGCCACGAGTTGTGTTCTGCCTAAGTCTATTATGATGTCATTTTCCATAGCTTCTCTTTTGAATAGGAGAAAATTAATAACACTATACTTTTATATTAATAATACAATGAAGAATAAAAGCAGAATAAAACTGCTTAACCACTGCTCCTGCACTTTAGAGCTTTTTCTTGTTCAGTAACACATACCTACTGTTACATTTGGGTTTAAGTTTCAATGCACGCTGTTTTAAGTTCTTTTCTTTCAATAGTAAAAAGTTTCTAGTACTCTGAAAGAGTCTTGCTGGAAGAAACAATATAAGTAAAACCCTTTGGAATTCAAAGAGTGTGTTTTAATAGAAAACCTAGAAATATAAGAAATATATCCTCAGTTGAAAGTTGAAATCCAGTGAAAACTGTGGAAACATACAGATTTTAATGAAAGCAAAATTAACACTATACCTTACATATCATATTCAAGTAACTTTTCTTACTTTGGGGGAGTTCTGTGTCTGAATGTCCTCTTTCACATAATGGTTCCAAGGCTGATTTTCTCAGTAGAAGTGGTATTTTATGTCTCTCCCACATTTCCACTGTCAGTACAAACATTTGTGAGGCTGTACATTACAGCAGATCAGAAAGTTCATTGCCTTTTTCTAAGAGTTCCTTAATTCAGATTAGTTCCCTGAATTCATTGCACTGGCGCAATGCAAGGGGCAGCACAGAGACTGAACTAGAAAGAAGTCAGTGCAAGCTGCTGTCGTTAACTCTGTCACCTAGATGAACATTCATGACATTCTGGTTTCAGAGTGCTGCACTTCTGTAAGCTATTGTAAAACCCAGGAGTTAGATGAAACTGAGTATCATGAGTAAATACATTTAATAACCCCTCAGTGTAAATTTGATTTTTTTTTTAAATCAGCAGCTGTAATAGAATTGTGACTTGTGTATAGGACATTCACATGTATAAAATATATTCATTTATAGATATCCTAAAGTATGCAGCAAACAAATCCAAAGAGAAAGAAGATGCCATTCTACTGGAAATCCAAGCCGATATATTATTTATTTTGTCTGCTCTCTGTGAAAATGATTTCCACAGAAAGGTATGTATCTTTCTACCTTATACTGTGTGGAAAATGTCAAAACATTAACGTGTATTTTCATTTAAATGATACCTTTTTTTTAATTCCAAAACAGATGTCAGTCACTAACAAGTCAGGGTTGACAGCTAGTTTCTGTGACAGTTAACATACAGAGCCAGTCAGAAATCCATTAGCAAGTGTCTAGTCTATTTAAATGCAAATTTAGATCATTTTAAAACTACTGTGTATGATAATGCATTAACAAATCAGATTAACAGATTGGAAAACCTGAAAAATCTCTTTTTCTTACACATATCATAAGTAATATATCCTGCTCTAACAAGTGGGCCAAATTTATTACAGTATAAATATTTACATTTTTTCAGTTTCCCATGTATTTTCTTGTATGTCGCTATTCAGTAAATATTATTTAAGAAATATACTGCTTTAATTAAAAAAAAGGAACTCTTCAGCTGTGAAGGAGTGGATATACTTATCCCATTCATTCAGATGGATCCAAAGATGTTATATAGTGGATTAGGCCACAATCATCTCCTCTTCAGTGCACTTGACTGCTTGTGGTTAGTAAAGTGGTATTTTAGCAGCAGTAAAAAAGGCAGGTCTTGTACTTCAAGTCTGTAATACTATGGGCTTTCTCTGCAGATATAGGCCTTTCTTCTGTTTAAAATGTGTAAAAATCCTTCATACAATTTGACTGATTAAAAATGATACAAAATAGACAGAATATTCTGCATGTTTTCTCTTCTAAATAGAGGTTCAGTATGACAGCCTAACTCCCTAGACAGCCATCTAACTCCTCACACAGAGTCACCTCCTGACATGCAGTTACCTACGGCTTTCTAAGAGGTATATGGTTAGAGTCTGTAAATAGCTTCAGAGGAGTATACAGAAGGCAATAATAGACCAATATTAGCTAAAAAGTATGTAAGCATAAGAAAGAATGTTTGTAAACTGGCTATATTGGGCTAGAAATTTTTAAAATATTATTCTCAGAGAACGCCAGTTCATAGGAGGATAACCAAAAGTTAACTCGTTTTAAGGCAGAGGTTGATAAATTGAAAGCCAAATGATATGTTTGTCTGGGAGAAAAGACTTAGTCATGCAGGAGATCCCATCAGTTTCTGTGTTAATGACCATAAGTGAGGAAATAAGAGAAGAAAGTAATAGCTCCATGAATGCTGATTTTATGATCATTTTAAGCTGGGAGAAGCAAACTCTGTTGCCAAGAAAACAGTCTTTCTTCTCTCACCCCCTTGATTCTTCTGGCAGAAATTTTCACACAGCCCTGCAATAAGCCAGATCAGGGACATGATGTAGCTAATTTTAGCCTCTTTTACTGAGTTAGTTTTAGTTCAAATCCATATTTGAATCCAATTCATTGTGAACCTGCCAAATTTCTTGGGCTGCTACAAGGAAGATGTGCCACCTGCAAGAGAAGAGCAGTCAAGTTGGGTATATTTAGTTAAAAAGTGTAAATGGAAAGGCATGTGAAACTCTACTCCCTGAAGGTAGGAAGTGTATTGCATACCAGATATATTTATGCAACTCAGTAAAATAAATGAGATGCCTGAAGAATGCTCTAAAGCATAAAAATGTTTCTACACAGTGAAATTATTTCTGTTTAAGGTCCTGTGTCATTGGATATTACGTTGCAGAGGATTATTTTCTTGAAAAACAGGGCATTTTTCTCCTTCTGGATTTGCTGGCAGTAAGTATTTTTATTCTTGTTATTACAAAATGAAAGAGTAATAAAACAACACAGAAAATTGCATTATTTTTGTTACAGTATCTATTATAATACTAACAAAAAGTCCAGTGTATGTAATTTCCTCAGGTAGGAAGGTAATCACAAACCAGAGTATCTACTCGGAAATGATTGGACAGATTTTTCCATGTGTCGTTTTAAAAAATAAGTATTTGACAGAAGGAGTTTTAAATTTACCAAAAATATACTCTTTTTAAAAAGAAAATTCACACTTATTTTGGATTATGTGTCTGTTAGAAAAGCACCTCAGTTCTTGCTTCATACTGAAGTTAGTAAGAGCAGAGTTACCATACACGTCAAGGCTTTGAAAGTTTTGATGCTTAAAGTTACTTTGTACATGTATTTTGTATGCATAGCTACATCTGTGGGTCTTGGACACAGAGCTGGCACAGGCATTTCACCTCTCACAAAATAAACGTGCACCTTCCTTGTTTCATTCCCTCCACATCCTCACCAGTCATACTGCCAGCCTCTGATGCCCTTGCAGTGCAAGGCTGCAGACCTTTCCAGGCTTTCAGCTGCTGCTAAAAGATCTGGCCACAAAACAGAACCGGTGCTGTGTGGTACTGCTCAGCCACTATCTTCAGAGTCTGGTTCCTACAAAAATCAATCTTGGTAGCAGTACATTCTCCAGCATGTGAGCATGAAGTCATGTATACAAAACCTATAATGTCATTCTGCACACATGATCCTACACTCATTCGCCTCGTATTCCTTGATTTATGGAACTTTACATGGCAGGATTGGAGAAACCTGAAAGATTTACAAGTTTATACACCAGTTTTATGCAAATAGTTGTGATGAAAAGCTTGCAGTTACTTGATCAGATATTGCACTATTTCTCCTTTTTTTGAAGGTAAACTTCACTCTTTTGAACAGTTTAAAACATTTTTTCCTTTTTCCTTCATCAAGTTAAAGCAAAAGAACCTGTGCAATATAATTCTTGGAATCTTGGTTGAATTTTGTGACAACCCTAAAACCACTTCGCACATCAGTACCTGGCGAGGGGAGAAAGATCAAACAGCAGCTAAACTTCTAATACAGTTGTGGAGACAGGAGGAGTTGGAGCTAGGAGTCAAACGTGATCAGTATGGAAGGATTGTTGGTAAGTTTTATGATGCATGTAAGACTGTGAGCAGCTCCATTGAATAAAGTAAAACACAGATAGTATTTGCTTTTGCAGTCTGAATCCTGATGAAAGTGAATTACAATATTTATAGCTTTATGTTGTAGTTCATACCAACCCCAAATACAGCCTTCTCTGTATTTTGTTTAGAGGCTGGCCACTAAATAGCATTTTCTACATCAGCTGGGAATGAACCAGGTAATGAACAGAACCATGAGTAGTATCCTGAACAGCTTTTCTAATGCTGGACAGTTACGCTACTTAATGCCTTCCACAAAAGGCAATTTATTCTGTTGTGTGTTGTAAAAAGAAGTAAGGAGAGTGCTATGTTCTCACAGATCTTTAGTCATGCTAATTAGTATTTCCTGGCCCAAATTATGTTTAAATTCCTGGCCAAACTATCAAAATTATTTTCATAGTACCTGCAAAGGTGGAACTGTCTACTTTTGGAGGAGGCATCACAGAAAAGAATATGTCCATTTCTGTCTGCTAAAGATCCTCATACTTAATTATATAGATAGAATTTTCTCTAAGTTTATTGGCTTTGGGAATATACTACCTCTTCATTCTTCTACTCTGTTTTCGTGTTTTGAAATTATTAGACATGAAGAGACCAATTGCTAGCAGCTTCCAGAATCAGCAAGAGGTCATCCCCATGCCTGCCAACTGTCCCAGCTTTGCCATCATGGAAATTTCAGAAAACATACGGGCAAAAATTTATTCATTGTTGTGCAAGCTTGGTAAGAAAAGTGAATTCCCTTGCCAGTGTCATATTTGTCATTAAGCTGAACTTGTTCACTGGCAATCAATAAAGGGACTGTTAGGAAGAGTTTTCCTAGAATTAAACCTAAGATTTGCTTGAAATATTCTGTAATTTGTTTTCCCACACACAATATCTCTTTCACATATTTTAACAGTTTTGTGTTTGGTTTTATTTCCCTAGATTATGAAACACTACTTTCTGCAGGTGTTACTCACCAATCACATTTTCTAGCATAACCTCTAAGTATTCTCACTTTTTTTTTCCTTGAGTCCTTCAAATTGTTTCACATTCTTTTTAATCTGAGATGTCCCAAAACTGAACACAGCATTCCAGCAGAAGCCTCACAGCCAAAATAACCTACATTACTCTACTCACCATGTAAATAAAGGTTCTGACATTAATATAACAATTGCTGTGTTCATAGCGGCATGATATTTTTTGCTCATTTGGCTCAGAAACATGTACTGTTATCTGCCATCCTGGATTTGTACAGATGACTATTCCTAAATTTAGATTTTTTAATTTATCCTTACTGAATTAAATTCTGTGGGTTTAAATATTTTTACAGATTGTCAAGTTTCATTTGCATTCTAATCTTTTCCTTCAAAATGCTGCAGTCCCTCCTAATTCTATGTTGTTTGCACACTGAATACGAACACTCATTACACACTTGTCTAAAAACCTAAACTGAAGTCAAGATATATGATACTCTTCTACACATATAAGATTTCTTATCTGGCTGTAGACAAATACGAGGTCTTCGTTTTTATTAATTCATGATACTCTTCTACACATATAAGATTTCTTATCTGGCTGTAGACAAATACGAGGTCTTCGTTTTTATTAATTCATGCTGGATATTGATGTTTTCACTGTTGCCATTTAGCTGCATAAAAATTACTTGTTTAATTATTTGTTTCAGTCTTTTTTCAGGAACTGAACTAAACCAATATTCTCCAGCTTGTCCTTTTCCCTTTTTAAAAATAGACATTATGTTTGTTTTTTCACATTCATCCTCCACAGGTTCAAAGTTGATCAGTAATTTTTCTGAGATTGCTTCAACCAGTTCCCTGGGTAACCTAGAGAACCAACTGGCTTGACAACATCCTTAGTTTCTCCAATAAACTAGTTCTTCCTAATTAGTTTTTACTAATTTTATTAGTGTTAATTATGATAAATGTTGGAAAAATTGAAATATTTTTATAGTCTTTTCTCAGCGTCTTCCTTGTACTGTAGTCATTCTGTAATATGGTAATCTAGAAAAAGTGTTAATTGGTCTCTATTTATGGTTTTTCCTAACTTCAAAAATGATGTAATTATATTCTAATAGATAGATACCACATTCCCAGTTACTACACAGATGGTATGATGAAGTCTAAAATGAGATTTGATAAACTTAGAGATAGGGGTATTTTATGAAAAATCTATTGTAATTAGCATTCAGTATGCAAAAAATGAGGCATAGTCTCAGCAACCATACCTCTCTACGTTATTCTTTTACACATATTGTAAACATATTTTTTAGAAGATAGAGTCATGACGCTCAAGGCATTCTGCAAGTCTGTGAGATGGAGGACACCCTCATTACACATCTGTGAAAGAAAGTGCCTATCACCCAGTAATACAATTCTGTTGGCTACTTCACAGCTAAAGCAAGCTCTATTTGTGCTGAATTGCTTCTTTAGAAACCTGTGACCTGTGGACTCAACTGTTTGTCTGCTTTAGCAGATCAAACCCTTACCACAAAAGCATAGCAAAGGCAGTACTATCCTGGCTTTCCAAGTGACTGGAAGGTCACTGGAGCCACTCATAAGTATAGAGTTAGTACAGATAGAATATATTACAGAGAAAACAATTTTTTTTATCACCAGCCTGACTGATGTATCTGTGATAAAGATTTTGCATGTGATCATATGACAAATAAGATGGTGTCTTTTTTTAGAATGTTATATTTTAAAATAAATTCATAATGTTGTTAATTACTGACATGATCTTTTAGGTTTTGAAAATTTACCTGGCTTATCTGCTAATGATATTGTCACAGTGGCTATCATACGGCGTTATATTGATTTTAAAGTGAGTATTGTGGAAGAGAATGTTAATACTGTATCTATGTTTGCAGAAATAACAAGTATATCTCAGGTTGAAGCAAACAACCCTTCAAAAGCTGTCACCTATGTCACAAGTCACCTATAGTTTCACAGAGAGTGTAAGCCAGTATTTACCAGCAAAGGAAACAATCCCACCTCCATCCTTGCAGCACTGTACAGACTCTTCCTCTGTACTGCCACAAATGTTCCTGACTGCATAGAAAATAAGACCAGAAACCAATGTTAGTTACAATTAACTAAGAAAAAATAGTTTTGACTGTTTGCCAGCTCAAGAAACAGGAATGTGCCAGGGTAGGACTAAGAAATTGGAGAAGGGGTGGAGAGTTGGACTGCCTCTTTGTGCAGCAAGGTCAGGTTAGGGGGACAAGGGAGGTTTGCTGTTAAAAATGACATTAAATACACATTCTGGTAAAGGTTTTCTGTGCTTTCCCATCTTTGTCCCCACTTGCAGTATCCATCCATACCATCAAAAGTTAAGAATGATGTGCCTATGGGAAACAAGAACAGGATACAAACTTTGTAGGAGCCATCCTGCTTGAAAGATGCTTCAGTTTATGCCAATTTTCTGCTTAGAAACAAAGTCTGTGAGAGCTTGAAGTGTTCAGGAGCTAGAAAGACTCCATCTTTAGTCGATAATTCCAGCTTCTGTCTCATGTTGGAGTTTGCTCTGATAATGTGTGCAATTTGAGATTTTAAGATGCACCCAGAAGGACAACACTTCACTCTTGTAATTTGCTATCTTACAGCTATCTGTATTTCTTCTGAGTTTCTGTAGTTACCAGCATTCCTGTTACTGCACTGTGGAGTCGAGCTTGAGCTTGGAAAGGCTTAGGGAAGATTATCATGAATGAATTTGGCACAGCATTACTGAAGTCTAACCTTGCAGAAAAATTCTGGGAAATGAAACAACAATAAGGACAGAAATTGTTGCTTTAATATTTTTTGAATAATTTGAACTGAAAAAAGAAATATCAAATAGTGTGGTGTGTATTTCACACACAGATTGGAGAAGTTTGGAGTGAACTGTGTGCAGAACTGAAAGAAGAATTTGAGCCTGTTGAATCAGATAAGGAAGCCTTGAAAGTTATTTCAGAATTATCAGAAGAGACTGGAAGAATGGTTGCTGCTCTTCAGACTGAAGTGCTTAAAAGTCAGCATGACCAAGAAATCCAAGAGGAGGAAAAAACATATACAAAGGTAAGACAAGGAATATTTAAACAAGCCCATGTGAAGCTTTTTTGTCAACTTATATGAAGATTTTCTTACTATATAGTGTTGAGAATTCTGTATGTGTACACTGCTCAGCAGTAAAATTAGGTTAACCTCAGTTCTCCCTATTTTTATAATTTTGCCAATATTTAGAGAGTAACATGCAAAAATGAAGCACTATCATCAGTGATGCATCAGCAATAGTGTAATGAGAAATGATCATTATGTTGCTATAAGAGTTGCACCTGTGTTCATCTGTAGCAGATAACAATTTAAAGTATCTATTACAGCTACATCTGCTTCTTACAATGAAACATAAGCCTCTGTTATAAGCTCCCTTGGCTGAATATTCAGAAAGCTTCATTACTTCACAAAGCAGGGCTTAGTGTTTCCCAGCATGCTGAGAGTGAGCAGATATAGAGATTTTCCAGCTTTGGCTATAAGGCAAGCATTTACCATTTTTGCTCATCTACTGTCTCATTCTCTCCTGCTTTCTGAGAAGTAAGATCAATTCGTCCACTTGTCTAAAATCTCACACTAGTGTTTTTGAAGGATCATCATACCTTATGATGCCTGCACTTTTGCCACCAGAACTGATTCCATCTCTGTTATTTGGCATTTGAGAGTAAGAATATACAGAAATTGTTCCTGAAAAAATTGGAGCTCTTCCAACATCTGTGTTGTTGGAAAATTTGTTTGCAACAGAGAAAGTAAGTCTTTTTTTTTCCTTACAGGCAGTGTCCTTAAAAGTCCTTAAAAGGATTTCACTACAACATTATAATTCAATCTCAAGTGAGAGGGATGAGCTGAGGTAGCCATACTATCCAAACAGCACAAGCAAAGAGTTCAGGAAAGCTCATTAGAATAGGATTGTGTTGCATCTTGTAAATCTCATTTCTATTACAGATCCAAACTATCCATAAGCAGAGAGAGATGGTAAATAAATCTTGGAAAAATTTCTTGACTCGGACATCAAACTATGAGGCATTGAAGGTAAAAAATCTGAGTGATGGAGCAAAATTTACACAGTGTGGTTATAATAATTGGGAAGTTCCAAACATATTTATTAAAGTATTATGAGGACTTTCAAGTAGAAGTTACAGTAAATATTCTATTCACACAGACGTAGAAGAATGATCTGTAAGATGTACTGGGAAAGCTACACAATCTTTGATTCTTCTGCTATTCCATGATTCTATGATTTGCTCTTCTGATTGGAGTCAAAAGCTGGGGATCAACATTCTTTAGGCACTTGCAATTAGGGGGGTATGCATGTATATATGTATGTGTGTGTATATGCGTGTGTGTGTGTGTGTGTGTATATATATATATATATATGTTTATGTGTATATTTTTCCTGAAATTGTTTAAACTAGAAGTCTGATAATTCTTTTCTTTATTTTTCTAATGTTTCATTCCTTGTTTTTAATACAGCAGATCTTTCAAGATGGGAAATATTTTATGATGAAAGAAGTATCTTTTAGCAATATTTGCACTTTTCCAAAAGAACATTAAAAATATTAGACTCCTAGTTAGGTGGTCAGAGTAAGTTGGAGAATGAATGAAATCAGACTTAAAAGAAATGCTCTAGCAGCTGAATTTGACTTTTCTTTATTTCCCAAAGGAGATGCAAAAGAGAACCATTTACTTCATGTGCAAGCAATTCACTGGCCTGTGGTAAAGATCTATGCTAGAATTAAAAATTAAAAAGGGCCAGAAAAAGGTTTTGGAGAAGTACAGGCTGGTTATGTTTAACTTATTCCCTGAAAAGCTGTTTCAGGCATATAAGGGACAAGAAGGTGTTTGGAAATGACTGTCATGGATTTACCAAGGACAGATCATGCCTTGCCAACATGGTTGCCTCTGGAGGAGGAAGATGGATGTTACTTCCCTTGGCTTTAGCAAGGTTTTCAGCAGAGTCTTGTGAAGCATCCTTGTAGCCAAATTGGGGAGATATGGACTGGACTACCTATAGGTGTTGTCCACTTCAGCTGGACTGCAAGTTGAATGAACTTGGCTGGACTGATGGGCTCAAAGGACAGTGGTCAGTGATTAAAGTTTAAGTAGCAGTCAGTTTTGAGTAATACTCCTCAGAGTTAATTATAGGGTTGATACTCTTCATAATTTTAATTAATTACTTGGCTATTGGATCACTATGCAACCTTGTCATATTCATGCATGATGCTGAGCTGGAGGAAGCAATCCATATGCTGGGAGGTAGGGTTGCTATTCAGAAGGACCTTGACAAGCTAGAGGTTTGGGCCAACCAAAAGCTCATGCTGTTCAGGAAAATAAAATGTGAAGTCATGCATCTGGGATGTATTAAGGTTGTCATGCATCAGTACAGCCTGGGGACTGACTGGCTATGTAGATGTGCACTATGTATGGAGTGACAAGCTGAACATGAGGCAGCAGTGTGCTCTTGTGGTGAGGAAGGCTAACAGCATATGTAGCTACATTATAAAGAATATAGCCTGCAGGTCGCAGCAAGTGATTATTCCCTTCTTGCTCTTGTGAAGGTATGTCCATTTATTGTGTTTTTATGTCCCCAGTACAAGAAAGAGTCACAAACCAGAGGGAGGGTACTTACAATTAAAGGCCAACAGAATCATCACTGCATTTACTTTGTCATTTTGTTTGTATATTTTCCAACAAGTGCAAATGATAGAATTAATTCTGATTCAAACAATTTTGCCTTTTTTCTAACTATCTTTAGAAAGCAAAAAGGCTTCAAGAAAAATCAGTAGAGGCTTCTAGATCTAAATTGAAGACTCAAAATGGAGCAGTCCATTCTACTGATATTAAAGGCCTTGGTACAACAGTAAGTAATCCCCAAATACATTATTATATTATTATTATTTTCATTAGTATGTAAGTGGTTTGGGGTTTATTCTGGCTATATATGTGTGGTGCTTACTCTTTCTTTGTTAAGGTTTGTGTTGATAAGCTCCAAGCACGTAGGAAAGAATCCGTATCTCCTGCAAAGCACTACTTCTTTTGGCATATCCTCAGACAACAGGTAGTTGGTCAGAATGAGATTCCATATGGAAAGTGTGGGCAAGATGGTCCCCATGCTACTTGACATGTACCTCTTGTGGGACAGCCTTTCATGAAAACTTTGCTGAGGTCAAGACCTCCATCATTTATTGCTGGGTATATCTGTGCAATCCCTAATACATCAGGACTGTCTGCAGATAAGCCACTTGTTGCATCTGCAGAAAAGGGGTTTTTTTCTCATTTCTATCAGTTAATCGAAGTGTGAGAAAATACAAGCCATTGTTAAGATCTTACTCAGGCATAACTGCATATTTAGATGTTGTTTTTTAACAAGCTGGGATAAGACATGGGAGCATCTCTATTCCAGTCCCTAACTGCTTTTGAGCTAGCTGGATGGTTTATGAGTAAGCATCACTGGTAAGGAGGATTTTAGGGGAAGGATAGCTTCTTTGTTGCTTATAAGTTACTCTTACATGTAAGGAGAAACAAGGAAATACATGAAGTGCTGTTTTCGAAATTGTACAAAGGCAAGAGGTTCTCTTATCATGGGCTCTCTAGTATGACTGAGTCATGACAAGTAAGGTGGCTGCATCCTGAAAAAGCAATGTTTGATGTGATGAAGAAAGGAGGAGCTTAATAGGAAGCAAGGGGATGCTCTCAGAACGCTGGACTAGGATTTTTATCAAAATATCTTAGCCCTAAACTTCTGAAATCTATGGAGGGACACATGTGAATGCAAGATGAAGTGGGCTGGAAAAATTCTTTACTTGCATATATCGCTTAGACTGTTAATTATCAATATTTTGCAGAAAGTCTCTGAAAACATGAGATATAAACATGAGTATTCTGGAAATTGTTAGTAGAGAGAAATACATGGTTAGATTTTATTTTAAAGACTTGGAGTTCAAGCCAAGATTATTAATTTCTTTGAATGGAGAGCATTTAGCAAGAAAATATTGTCATAGTTCTATAATCAGTATTTCTACAGCTGTAAACAAAAACAAGGAAAAGGTTAGCCCATTTGCAGAATAAGTGTATTAAGAAAACAAACACATCACAACATCAGATCAAATCCTTGGGTACACTGCTTAGAAGAACTACAAATGACAGCTATGGCTAGTCACTCAGGGATTTTTATTCAAAGACTTGAACCTATTCATTATGAAGAGTAGTAATGGAATTGTCCAGTAGACTGGAAAATTTATGTCTCTCAGTCTTGGAGTTTCCCTGGAGCAGTAGTTACAGGCGATTGCATTCTGAGAGAAACAGGGTCTATTCCCTTTTTTTCCTTTGATGTATCAATGTATAGTGAAATTCCAAGGACAAAAACTATGGCTGATACTAGGTACAAATCCAACAAACTTCTGTTGTCATAAAGGCTTTATTTTCCTCTCCTCTATTGATAAGATCAGACATGAAGGCAGAAAAGCAGAGTACATAATGGTACCTGCTGAAAAATCATTCTCTCTTTTCCTTTGTACTGATGGGAACAATTTGTGAATTTAGTATAACGGATCGTTTGAGTGGACCTTGGAAATCTCAGCATGCATCTCCACCAGATGAATAATATTTTTGAAAGACAGTTCATGATTTAACTTTCAGCTCATTTTAAATGCTAGCATGAACGTCAAGCAATGGCTTTATTTTGTTTTTCAGATTGGATCTGGTCGCTTAGTAACTGTTGAAAGTACACCTCCTCAGTTAATTGGAGGGCCACTGGCTGTTACAGACCTTGCTCCTAGAAAGCCCTCTGTTTCTGAAGAAGCCTTAAAAAAGAACAAAAGAGTTTAAATGTTGCACTAAATCAAGAAGGATTTGGTACCTGTAGAATAGATAGTGTTATGAACAGTGCTTTTAATATTTTAGTTAACTACATGTATATTTTAGATACAAGATAAAATCTGTTTGCAATGCTTTGATGAATTGCATAGAACATCTTGAGAATAACATATTTTCTTTTAATTAATTAAAACTTGGGGATGATTTATTAATAAAGTACCCTGTACAGTATGGTATAAAGGTATGTTGAGTTTAATCGTTTTGTGTGCCAGTGTCAAGTTACCCTTAACCGCTATCAGTAGGTCCACTATTTAGATTTCCATCTTTTGTTGACACATTCCACACACTGTAGCTTAAATATCTCTTTCTTTGTGAGAGCGATGAACCTCATATACACACATTCAGTTCTTCATTTTCCTGGATACCATACCCACATGGTTTTTGTCCAAGTCCATTTTGTTTCTTTAATTGCTGCCTTTAGCATCAGGACTTCTGGTTTCTATTCAGTTTTCATCTAAAGGCTCACTAAGAAACATGTCTGTGCTAACAGCTTCTCCAAGCCTGTTGGAGAGACGTGCTGAAATGTCATGTTCCTCACTGGTTTCTCACAGCTCTTTAACTGACCTTACTACTTTAATTATTTCTTGGATTATTGCCCACATTGTCTCCAATAAAAATTCATCCTCTTAGCACCTCTAGAATACCAACACAAACTCCTGAGCAGGAGACCTTTTTGTAGATGACTCAGTTTCTAAGCTGTTGTCTCCTTTCCTAACTTGGGAAAAGTCAGAATTTGCTGTGTTACAATAGAGCAAGATTCCCTGAGGCTGTTAACTTCATTTTAAACCCAGCTGCTATCCAGTGCTATGGCACAAATTACTGTGACATTGCAAGGGGTTTTGTGACATACAAGCTCTGGCACATAGTCTGTCATTTTTGCCTATAAGCAATGTTTTGAGAAAAGTACAAGCTTTCACTTTGTTAAATGCCAACTTGAAAAATGGAAATAAATTTGAGCTAAGCAGGTAGAACTTAAATTCCAATTCCCCATTTTACTTCCTGAAACAGGGATGGGGGTGTATGTATAAGCATTTCTTTAGTATCTGCTTGTCTTTTTAACAAGACATAGCACTGCTGGCATTAAAAATTAAGGCAGAGATTTTTGTTTAAAAATTGCCTACTTAAATTCTATAAAAAGGAGAACCCAAAGAAAATAATGAAACAAGACAAAACATCCATATGAAATAGTACTTTAACTTTAGAGAAATCTCCACATGTTTAGTTTCCAAAGATCAGAAGCATTTTCTTATGGACAGGTCTGTTAACCATTACATCGTACAGTAAGAAAGTCATCTAGTACTTAACCTAGCTAGAGAAATTAAATTGAGCTATGCTAATTTAATCTGATTTTTATACTGGTCCTTTGCTAACAGATAATTGTAAAGAGTATATTCTCGTTTCATCATTACATTTTTTTCCCAAAATTACCTGCATAAAGTTTATTTTCTTAAACAAGCTTGTATGTGTATTTCTTGCCTGCCAGCAAGAAAGGTAAGCTAAGGTATATAGAATTTATCTAACTGAAGTTCTCTGTGTCAAGTAAAGTCTTGCTCAGTTGTTTATGTTTATATTTCTCTGACAGTCTTCAGCCTGTTTTAGAGAATGCGAAAATATACCTACACACTGGGGCCACAAAAAGTATGCTCTGTTGTCTTTTCACAATTAAAACCAAACAATAAATATTTGTCTAGGAGAACAAAGACTGTGACATTTAGAATTATATCTGAATGCGTGGCATTCATATTACTACTGGCAGCAAAGGACTAGCCCATTAAAAAAAATAATACAGGACTCATGTATAAAGTCCTTTCAATTACTGAGCAAAAGCTACAGCAGTGAAGTGTAGCCAAGGTGTGGATATAAAAGATCTTTTACCTGGAAATCATATTTATGCTTATGTAAAAACTTTAAAGCAAGTCCAAAGCGAGCCTCACAGCATTCCGCCTCCGACTGCATTGTGCTTCTGCTACAGATGTTGCAGGCAAGTAGCTGCAAATGCTCTTGTTAATTGTAATAAAGGCTGGAGTAGGAAGGTGACAGAATTTCATTAAGTGCTTACATTTATACTTCATAAATGAGTACTAACACCAGGCTTCACAGCAACATAGACAGCATTTGATGTTGCCAGCCAGCCATGGACCACAGCATGGCTGTCACGGGGGGAACCCAAGAAAACTGGGTTTGCTGTTCCTGCTGTAACCCAGGGGTGGAAAGAGAGGGAGTGCTGAGTGCTGCTGGAGGGAAAGATCATCCCATTCACCGTCAATCCCTCTTGTGGAAGCCCAGGGAGTAGCCAGGGGGCTTTCCGTGGCTCTGTCATAGACAAAACAGGTATGTCTACCTGGGGTTGTTTAGCTGCTGCTGCTGCTTATGGTGCTGTGTTGCTGTTGTTTGCAGTCACCTGCCCCTTTGGCAGACACTGCAGGGTGACCGTGGCTATAGATTGTTTAAGTATTCTGGAGCCAGTTGCAGTAGATGCTGAGCACCTTTGTCTCCTATAGAATTAAAACAAAAACTTACAGTCTGAGGAAAGATGGAGCTTTTAAACTGCATATGATACCTTGCTCTGACAGTCAATTAAAATATTATTAATATAGGAAAGATTACCTTTTAAAAGTTATTATTGTTTTACACTTTTGTAAGGTGACGAATAAAATTATTCATAAGTGTAAACAAGGGGAATTTATCTGGTTTATGACAGTTAAAAGATTTTTGTTGTTGCAAATGCAATACAAAGCTTTATAAACTGGATATTGCTGAAACAGGTTAGACAAAAGCTCTCAAATAGCTGCTCATCATGATGTATCAGTTCCTGAAACTGCTAGGTTTGGGTGTATCATGAGTCCCTCTATTTTGCAAAAGAAATGCTCTGTTTAGCATATTTTTTGTATCAGGAACTTAACAGTGATATTCACGGGTAAGAGAAATTTCTCACTACTTTTGCACCCTCTCCAGAATAATGCAGGAGAAATATTTTACAAGATGCAGTTCAATATTGTATTTACCTAAATGGACATATACAAATCTATGAGAATTTTTGGTTATATTATGAACTATATATGAGCAAGGCATTATGTGGGATGGAGTTCTTCCTATTTACGAAGGTTTATACACTGTTGCTGTGTAAGTACTGATTCCTACAATAGTTAAACCCAGTTGGGATCTCATAAAAGGCTAGAACACAACAGGGACTGAACAAGCTGGAGTAAAGCAGAGAACAGTCAGCATCTCTGAGTGTTCCCGTTTGTTCTTACGCTCTCTGTGCTCTGGAGAGATGGATTAACTAGATGGTTAATCTCCCTGAATTAGTTTACCCCTGCTGAATGGTTTCCTATAATGGGAGCAGCAGTCAAGCCAGTCTCACTCTTTCAAATCACTTGATGCATGGGTCTCTTCTCAACTGTGATGTTGCCTGCTATGACAATGATGGATTGCATCACCTTATTTACCTGTACAAATGTATAAATGAAGAGCAGTCTTGTGTAAAGTACTGTTTTTAATGTGAAGTACTAACGGTTTTGCAAATAACATGCTAATAGACAAGAAAATGACTACTATTGAGACCTTGTTGCATAGAAAAATACTTTAATTAATCCATAGCCTAGACTAAGCAATGATAAAATACAAAGTTTAAACTGCACAGGATGTAACAATGAGCATAATCTTTCCTTTTAGCTTGATATCCCACTTCTTTGCAATTCTTAAAAGTTGATCTTATTTGCAAGACACTGCATAAATATGTTTGTTGACATTTTCTCTGTTGCTTAACGTAGAAAAATATATTTGGTTTCCATCAAAATTAACTTTTAAAAAATTATTGGAAAAGATGAGCCTCTACAAAAATATGACACTAGCTTAGACTTAACAAGCGTACCTGAGAGAACAAAGGTGTTGACTCAAAACACAAAAGCATTGACACATGCAGTGGGAAAAAGGCAAACTTGGTAGATTGCAAGACCGGAAAGCAAAAGTGACAATGTGAGAGCTCATGTACTTTTCTCTTTAGCAGTGATTAAGTACTTTATACAGAGGGAAAAAAAAAGGTTGAGCTATGCCAGTGGAGTTGTCTAAGCATCTACAGTATACGCTGTGCTTTTGTACTCCTTCATTTTGATGTTGCCTTGCTGAGGTATCTTCATTTTCTCCCCTTTAGGCCTAAAATGGGTTGGTGAAAGCAGACCCTGCAAGATTGTGAAAGAGAGGTAGTTATTTTCCAAGCAATATGGTTAGGAATGCTAGGATTGAATGATCTCAGTGTTCAGACTGGAAATTTAAAACATCTGACTGGGAAAAAGGTCTATTGCTGAGGAGGAAGGAAGCACACAGATGTGGGATTGGTTAGTAACATACAAAGCCAATCACCTGCACGATCTCAGTTCAGACTCATCCCAGACCACGATGACCAGACTTTGTCACTGTTTGATGATGCACAGTGACCATGAGATCACATTACATGTCAATAGTTTTAATAAGAAGAACAAGGGTTCAAGCAGTCAGGAATTTGAGCTTTCCTTCTCATAGAGGGTTGATTCCCCAAAGTTGAGGCTTAAGTCCAAACACCAGGAAAGTTTTAGTATTGTAATGTCATTTATATGCTCACAGTGATACACAGAGAGTGCAGCATCCATTTCCACTCATTCCCACATGCATACCTGACTTTTTTACATTGTTATATATAGAAATGTAGTACTCTAACTACTTTTGACTCACATATTGTGAAAGAAGCTACCATTGAAAGATGCAAATACTTGCCACAAGTACAGACAAAAAACTGGAGATGAGTATATTGAGTTCTCTGAACAATCAAGGAGAAGGGTTCAGTTTAATGTCAGTACAAAACAGACTAACACCATATCCCATAGTTACCTTCTAAAGGTCTATGTGAGTAGGTGGAAGAATATCTGGGAGACATTAATTGTCTTCTGCCCATTCCATGGGATCTTGAGAGCACACAGTCTACATACATATCCCAGAAGTTCTGGGCTAAATCATTGAAGAGTTCGTTGTGCTTGGGCTTAGGGGATTCTTTTAGGAACATCATGAATTCCCAGAGAGCAATGACCGTATCGGCTACCTTGAGTTTCTTCATTTCCACCAGTCCATGGGACGACACCTCCCAGCACTGATGGTCAATCTGACCCAGGCTTGCAGGGGTTTCTTTTTGATAGTCTAGACTGCCATAAACCAAATTCAGTATCAATATACAGCCCAGCTGAAGATACCACCTTCGCTTCCATATAAATTCCATGCTCCAGAAATACACCTGAAAGAAAGAGTAGAAAACCACAGTGATTCTGCCATTAGGTAGTGCATTCTCACATAACTTTCAAGGATACCCCAAGAGATGATTTAAGCATATGTACAAAAAATATTTCTTTTCAAACCATGTAATAAATATCAGTCAACGAACCCTAATGCTGGAGCTAGGTTTGCATCTAGAAATTGTCAATGCTGTATAGAACATGAAAACCTGAAGCAGAAATTTTGAAGTGATTGCAGCTTCTGTCAGAACTGCTCCTTGAGCTCAAGACTTCTTCCCTTAAACCTCTGTGCTTAGATCATCAGTAAAATCAGATTAATAGCAGATGGTAAAAGAATCCTAGTGGTATTCTATTTTAAAAGATTGCAAACAAGAAATAGAACTATAAATAGTCATTCTTTCATGAACAGTCCAACTCAGAAGGGTGGTAATGAAGGAACAGTAAAGCATGACATGACATCCATGACACTATTGGATGAGCACAGGCAGGTTATGAACTCATTCAATAGCTGTTACAAGACCAGAAAAAGGCATATTCCTTTCCAGCTGATGTTAGAAAATTAAGCAAACTTTCGGCACAGTTATTTCTAGCATATATGCAAAACACAGAAACTATCTGGAGAACTGGAGATGGAAAGAGTAATAACAAAGAAGCGATAATGAGAACTTCAAATGCTACAGAATTTGTAGTCATTGTTGTACATGGATTCCCTCTGAAAAAGCTGCAGTTTTCCTAGGATGCATATTCCATATGCTTGAAGCATATGACAAAACATCACTAAAACACCTGATAATTTTGTTTTCTTAGTCCTTCCTATCAAGATAAGGAGCAGTGGGAGAGTAAACATAAAGGGGAAAACAAACCAAAAAATAGACAAGTGAACACAGGAAGAAGTCTGAAGAAAAAGAGGACAGTCAAGAATCTCAGATACTGCCCTTTGTTTTGGTGTCCTAAATCAACTCTAAGTCAAATAGTTGGTGCCATGCTCATTCCCACAGTTTCCAATCCCTTTGCCAATTCACGATGTAAAATACAATTACAAAACAGTGTGAGGTTTTGTGCAGATTCAAGGCAATGTTTTGGGCAACTGTGCAAATTTTACTGAAAACTTGGCCAGAACTGCAAGTGTGCTTCCCTACGCAAAATGTCTTTGGGCACTGGCAATATGAAAAGTTAGTCTATAATGTCTACAAAGTGTTAACACACTCATGTCCTCTCTGCAACTCCTAGTGATGCAATTAAAGAGAGGATAACCCACAGACAATATACCATATATGTGAACTGCCTATTAGAAGACAGAGTTGAGGCGACACCACAGGGTTCACAGTCATACCAAGCTGGGTCAGGAAACAGGACAGCTTGAAATAGGCCCTTTTGCTGTGGCCTTGGGATTCCAGGGTGATTTTTAGTTTGACTGTGCCATTGCACTGCTGCAGCCATCTGAGGTCCCTAAACTCATGTATTCCTTTACCTCACTTTCAGGGCTCAAGGGAATGAGAGAGACAGATGCCCTGCAACCCAAATCCTTTCTAAAACTTCACTTGCTATCTGCATTTCAGCAGGCACCAGGATTACCTGCTTCAGCATCCTGAGAGCTTATGAATATGCATTAAAGTTTCTCTTCCCTGACTTGTTAGAAAACTGGCTCCAGCAAACAAGCAGGAAT